AAAAAAAAAAAAAAAAAAAAAAAAAAAAAAAAAAAAAAACTATTTCAATTCCGGCAAAAAGAAACAAAAAAAAAAATATTTTGATCTCATGAACGCATGGCAGGCAAAAAGCTCATGCAGATGGGCGGTGTGACCCTCGCCAGAGCCAACAAAGCCGACGGCAGTATCCAAAGCCCGTCCCCACAAATCAAGCCCGAAGCCACAGCTGGCACCATTATCCCGGCCCTCCGCCTGTCATACCTATGCCACAGGTACACCACCAGGCTCCCCACGCACATGTCGATTGCAAAGTAGGCCCCCACCAAAAAGGGGACCGCCATCGCCATCGGAAGTGGGACCCACCTCCTGTACCTCCCCGGCACCACGTCCCTCACCAAATTAACAGCAACCGCAAAGGCGAAGAAGCCGTAGCAGAGCTCCAAACAGTGGGTGGGCAATGCGGAGAAGCCTTCGACCCCGAGGATAGCCATGTTGCGGTAGATGAGGGCATAGGGCGCCTTGTAGACGCCGTTTGGGTTACCAACATCGAATGTGTGGTAGAAGAGGAAGAAGGTCAAGGGGGCCACGACACAGCCGATGGCGGTCCCCACGGCCTGGGCCACGAGCATGGAACGGGGGGAGGTGAGGGTGAGGTGGCCCGTCTTGAAGTCGTGCATCAAATCCGAGGAGATGGAGACGATGGACTTTATGAGGCCACAACCGATGAGTCCCGCCACCACCCCGTTGTGTGTAGGGCCCACGAGGGCGGCCAAAATGAAAAGGGCGACCTTGCCGTAGTTGTAGGCCATGTTCATGTCGGTGAGGCCGGACCCGTACGCATTGCAGAAGCTGAGGGAGGGGGCTAGCACGTAAGCCACAAGGACATAGTACCATTTGAGTGGAGGAAACATGACGGGGATCACAATGATGGAGACGATGGAGAAGAGGGAGTAGCCGAGGCACGCCGCCCACATCGGGATGCGGTCCCGCATGAATACCTCGTTGCGCCGAAGGTCGTCAAGGATTTCGGCCGCCTCATCTGGGGATGGATAGATAGATAGATAGATAGATAGATAGATAGAAATGAAGTACAAGTGATGAAAAAATTTGTAACAAACTGATTTTAAGAAAATAAAATAAAAAACGAGTTGAGGTAGTCGTGATTAGTAAATTCTAATTACTAATCATTTTTAATCATTATTTCATAAATTTGTATTAATCAACTATCAACATTTCATTGTTTTTTCTCATAGCTTTTTTTTTAATATATTTTTTCTTGTGCTATTCCCTCCAAAAGTTATATTCAAACAAACAAAAGCCTCTCTAGTCACACCTTCATCTTTTACGAGTTTATCATTATGATATCACAAGTGGCTACAAATAAACAACAAAAAAGAAGAGGTCTACTAGGAACAGAGGAGAAAGATCATATCCACCTGCTTTGAGATTTCTGTTGTTGAGTGTGGCAATCATGCTTCTGGCTGTGAAAAACAGGGTTCTCAGAAAATTGTAGAGACCATCGCCTAGAATTAGAGCGATCGAAATGAAGACCTACACAGAAAACAAAAATAAAACCCTACGTATAAACAACATGTCTTCAAGAAAAGGCAAACATATAAAAAAAA